AGTCGCCTCCTGTCCAAGCGTAGGGCATTGGAGGCGACCGTCTGGGAAGGGGAGAAGAAGGTGAGCTTACTTACCCTATGGTGCTGAAGCCTAACCCATCTTTTCCTGTGTTCCTCCTGAGCCCATGCCATGACTGAGTGACATGCATGCCCACGAGAGATTCCACAGAAAGGCTGTGGTCCCACGAAGTCTGAAGCTGACGCGACATTTGCTAGCCTGTCAGCCACCTCATTCCCTTCTATCCCTGAGTGCCCAGGAACCCAACAGAGCGTTACCTTGTTGCGCCTGCCCAGGTCACATACCGCAGAAAGGCAGTCCCAGACCACCTTAGAATTGAATTCATAGGAGTCAAGCGCTTTGAGCGCAGCCTGGCTGTCTGTAAAAATGGAAATGTTGATGTCCCTGAAGCCTAGCCTCAGGTTTTCCCTAGCACATACCATAATCGCAGTCATTTCGGCCTGGAACACAGTTGGGTGAGTGCCCATAGGAAGACAAATGTCCCCTTGGCGGCCTCTTTTATCCACAAAGACTAGAGATCTGGCTGTGAAACGTATCTAGCAAAGCAAGGGGTGAACCGGTACAGTACGAAGGTGAACTGTACTGATAAATTTTAGTGGCAGTAACCAGGATCCGGACCCACGACATCGCTGCCTTAGGCCCGAAGTCCGGACGCTACCAACTGAGCCACCGACTCACCAAAGACTGTTGATACTGAACAATGAAAAATTATTGTAGTTGTCAATTTGAAGTGACCTTAAGTTTAAATAACGGAAATGTAGCATAAAAGATGGACAGAATGCAAATCAGTATAGGTACTTAAAAAATATCTTTAAGAAATCGACATGAACCGACAATATTATACTAGTTGGGATCTGTTGTTGTTATTTGATGAATTAAAAATACCAGACATTATCTGTGTCAGTGAACACTGGTTGACACACCCAGAATCTTTAACAAATATAACTTTGGGTGATAAGGTCTTGGTATCAGCCTATTGTAGAACTGTTAAGAAGAATGGTGGAGTAGCCATATTTGTAAATAGTAATTTTAAGTGTACAAAACTGAAATTGGAACAATTCTGTATAGAGCAAATATTCGAAGTGACTGGAATTGAACTTGTTGACGAGTCTGTCCTGAGGTCTACATTAATAGTTTGTTTATTTGCTTGTCATCTGGTTTGATATATTATTGTTTCAGGTTTACTTTAAGTTTTGGATTTTGTTATTAAATACAATGAAAGAAGTGGCTCTAACAAAATGGGTTTTAATTTAATATATTTAAGGGCACAACATGGTGGCAGCGGTAAAGACCCAATAAATTGAGTAACAGGGTGTCTAATATATATGCTGCATTACAATGTCAGACTCAGAAAACTCGGATATAACAGTAAGAAGACAAACATCTAAAATGACACAACATTCAGCAACATTGGGCTTCATTGACAAATACTCCTTTAAACCAGAAGATTGGGGCCCATGGTTAAAAAAGTTCAATAGGTACAGAAATGCTACCAATTTAGATCAAATAGATGGAGAAAAGCAAGTAAATTTCCTTATAATATCCATGGGTGATAATGCAGAAAATGTATTAATAGCAGCAGGAGTAACAGAAGAAGATGAAAAGACTTATGATAAAGTGGTGGAAAAACTTAATAAGTATTTTACACCAAGGGTGAATTTGACCTATGAGAGAGCGAAATTCAATCAACGAGTACAAAAGCAAAATGAACCGATATCCGATTTTATAACAGATGTACATCAATTAGCTTCTTCATGTGATTACAAAGACATGAAAGACAGCCTTATTAGGGATAAACTCATTGTTGGAATAACAGATTCAAAGTTATCTAAGGAACTTCAACTGATGGCTGACCTAACCTTGCATGAAACAATAAATAGATTGAAACAAAGTGAAATTATAAAGAACCAACAAATTACTGTTAACAGATCAAGAGAACAAGATTTTGCAGAAATAGACCAAGTGAAAAAACATCCGAACTTGAAACAAAACATAAGACAATATACTTCTAATTGTTTTTACTGTGGAGGACAGAGGCATCCTAAGGAGGAATGTCCTGCTCAGAATATTGAATGCTACTACTGTGGATTGCAAGGACACTTCAGCCGATGTTGTAAAAAGAGACAGAATAATAAATACAGAAATCAGAACAATAAATACAGAAACCCAACCCTGAATCAAATTCAGGAAAATACCGAGACCAGATTGGAACAGGATAATAGAAGCGAGGACGGGTATTACATTAACAGAGCTGAAGTTAAGAAAATAAGAGCGACAACAAGGAACTACAATAAACAGAATGAATTTGAAATTGATGTAAAACTTGATGGGAAATTGGAACATTTCAAGATTGACAGTGGAGCCGACGTGACGATTGTGCCTCCTAGAATGGCTAGAAACAAATTATTGACTAAATCAAACATTGTTTTAAAAACACCTGGGGGGAAGTATTTAACAGTTTTAGGTAAATTTGAAGGTGTAATTCAGTATAAGAATAAAACAACTCGTCAAACAATATATGTGATCAATGGTCAAGAGGAAGCATTGATTGGTAAACCATGCATCTCAGCCCTAGGGTTCTTAAGGGTCATCAGAGGAGTTAAAAATGACATTCAGTCAAGTGAATATTGTAGCAACCAGAATATCAACACAGACCTACAGAAGATCAAGAATAAATATCCAAGTTTATTTAATGGGATTGGTAAGATGAAGAAAGGAGCTCAACTTAAACTGAAACAAAATGCGGTACCGATGGAGTTAAAAACTCCTAGAAACATACCTATTCCATTAAGAGAAAAAGTGAAAAATGAACTTAAAAGAATGGTTGAAGCGGGAATCATTGAAGAAGTTTGCGGACCTACGGAGTGGTGTCATCCAATGGTGGTAAGACCTAAACCTAATGGCAGTGTAAGAATATGCATTGATCCTTCAGCTTTAAACAACCATTTACAGAGAGAAAATAACGTTTTAATACTGTTGAGGACTTACTTGGATGTCTAGGGAATTCCAAATGGTATTCAAAATTAGATGCTAATTCGGGGTTTTGGCAAATACCGCTAGATGAGGGTTCCTCAAAATTGACAACATTTATAACACCATTTGGTAGATTTTGTTTTAAAAGACTTCCCTTCGGAATTTCAACAGCCCCGGAAATATTTTGTAACAGGATGAAAAGTATTATTGGAGACATCCCAGGAATTTTGTGTTATATGGATGATATTTTAATTACCGGAGAAAGTAAACCCGAGCATGACAGCAGACTAGACCGAGTGTTACAAGAATTGGAAAAAGAAGGAGTTACCTTAAATGACAAGTGTGAAATAGGAAAAACAAAGATTTCATTCTTAGGTCACATTATTTCTTCTGGTATGATTCAATCAGATCCCAAACACTTACAAGCAATAATCGATTTCCCCACACCCAGTGATGTGGGAAGTGTTAGGAGATTTCTAGGGATGTTGAATCATGTCGGAAAATTCATAGAAAACCTTGCTGATATCGTTCAACCACTGAGGGAACTACTAAAAAAAGATAGGGCTTTTGTTTGGGGTCCTAGTCAAGAACAGTCATTTAAAACAGCCTTAAAGAGTTTACAAACAACTCCTGCCTTAATACCATTCAATTTGAAAAGGAGAACTATAATTTCGGCCGATTCATCAGCTTATGGTTTGGGTGCAACACTTTTGCAAGAACATCAAGGACATTTAAAACCTGTGGCCTACGCATCAAAGAGCTTAACACCGACTCAACAGAAATATGCACAAATTGAAAAGGAGGCTTATGCAATAGTATGGGCATGTGAACGTTTCAAAAATTTTATAACAGGATTGAAGTTTCAAATTCAAACTGATCATAAACCTCTGATTCCTCTTTTAAGTAGTAAGGGTTTGGATGAACTGCCGCTAAGAGTTCAGAGATTTAAAATGAGATTAATGAGATATTCGTACGACATATTGTGGGTACCAGGAAAACAATTAACAACTGCCGACACGTTATCAAGAGCGCCAATCAACAAAACTGAAGAGGAAGATATTGAGAAACTTGCAGAAGAAGCAGAAACATGTGTAAGAACAGTAGTTCAATCAATCCCAGTATCATCTAATAAATTAGATGTAATAATAAAAAAATCAAAGAGAAGAATTACAGGAATTGTTAGATATTACAATTCAAGGATGGCCTAAAAATAAGAACCTATTAAATGAAAGATTAAAAGAATACTGGGATCATCAAGCAGAATTGTCGATCAATGAAGATATACTTATGAGAAATAATCAAATAGTGATTCCTCCATCCTTGAGAAAAGAAATGTTAGATAATATTCATCAAGGTCATCAAGGTATTAAAAGATGTAAAGAAAGGGCTAAAATGTCAGTATGGTGGCCCAAAATTAATCATCACATCGAACAAAAAGTAACCTATTGCCCGCAATGCATTGCTGACAGAGTGCCTCCTCGCCATCCTATGATTCCTACAGAGGTTCCTGAAAGACCCTGGCAGAAAATCGGAGTAGATTTTTGTGAATTCAACAATGATAAATACATAATTCTCATGGATTATTATTCCAAATACATCGATGTATATAAGGTATCTAACTGTTCAACGGCAATATTGATTAAATCAATGAAGACATCGTTTGAAAAGCATGGCATCCCCGAGTCAATTAGATCAGACTCAGGTGTGCAATTTCTATCAGAAGAATGGGAACTATTCAAATCAGAATACGACTTCACAGTGGAAACTAGTTCACCATACCATCATCAGTGCAATGGTCAAGCTGAAAGTGGTGTGAAAATCTTCAAAAACATATTAAAGAAGTGTAAGGATAGACATCTGGGCTTATTGGCATACAATACGACGCCAAAGGAATGTGGTTATAGCCCATCACAACTATTAATGGGACGGATTTTAAGAACAAATCTACCAGTGAATAAAGCAACTCTACTTCCAGCCACTCCAAATCACAATAGATATAGACTTAGACAAATGGAAGAAAAGAGGAAACAGGAACAACAGTTCAATAAAAGACATAGAGTGACCCAGGTCAAGGATTACCCAGAAAACGCTAAAGTTTGGGTATCGGACCGAAGAGAAGAAGGGGTAATCAAGGAGAAGTTAGAGAACAGGAAATATAACGTTGAAACAAAAAAGGGAGGAAGATATATCAGGAATTCAAAATTCTTATTCCCTATGTTCTCCTCTGGAGAAAGAGAAAATCCTGATAAAGAAAACCCCCATACACAGACACTTCCTCCAAGACAGACACATACACCAAGATCCAACCTACATAATCATTCTTCAACCATACACAGACCTACCAGAATTGTTAAACCTGCCAAGAGGTTCATAGAAGAACTTTAAGAGGGAGATGTCCTGAGGTCTACATTAATAGTTTGTTTATTTGCTTGTCATCTGGTTTGATATATTATTGTTTCAG